ATCCAGATGGTCGCACTTGTCTGAAGTACGCATACCAGAGATAAAGGCGGAAGTTGGACTTATGATTGGAGGTAACGTACATGATGCCTATACTCCATTTGAGGTTCTCACGGGTGCCACTGGATCACCACATGCAACAAGGACCAGAGTCGGATGGATCGTCTGGAACGTAATTAGAGGCAACCCATCCCCTGAAGTGAACAGGGTACACATCGAGGATAGGATTCGGGATGATAAGCAGTTAGAGGAAATGGTGAGAAAATCTATGGACTTTGACTTCCTGGAACGCCTGATAGATGACAAGAGAGAGAACTCTATGGAAGACGGAAGTTTCTTGTGACAGGTCAGTGAGTCAATCCATCGGGAGGGAGCACATTATGTAAACAGGAATGCGCGTTCACGTAGAAATGATGAAGAAGATCCAAACTTGTGTGGTAAACTGTACAATCTTTAATACTCATACACTGTGTAGCCACCTCATCAGACAATCGCACAAACAGACAAAGAACGCCCACACGCGCATACGCGTGTGTGCTCAGCTCCGCGCCCAGAACCCGAATCTCCCATCCCCCTCCTATTACATCTCTCCCTATATATTCGCCCAAAACTCCCTACCTCTTGAGCGCACATGTCACCCGTTCTGTCCAGTTCCAACCGTTCCCCTCATTTCACAATCACCCTAGAAACTGCCTAACCTAGACCCGCTTATCCAACTCCCTGTAACATCAATGCCGCCGCCCAATATGCGCGACGTTCTGTCTAGCTAGACTATATGGCTAAAACAACTACCAGTCTATCTCCACTCGACTAATCCATGTAACGCGTATAAAATAGACGTTACATTATCTCCCTTTTCCCCAAAACGATGACACCCTGTCATCGCTTCAGCGTCCTCGCTGCTCTACACTTTAACGTGAGCCTAACCAATTCCAAAAAAAATATTACTACCCTAATACGTCCTAACTCAAAAACCCAACGAGAGAAACGTCTTTCTTGTCCGATAATCACCCTACATAACAACAATCAAAATACAATAAGAGATCACATATGAAGCGTAGAAAACAAGTAACGATAAAAGTCTACCACAATAGAAATCAGAAACTCAACACATTTGGCATGAACATTCTGATATCGCTGCAATTAATCTCACTCTTGCGTATTTTTATGGCTGTAACGTACGTGGCGTATGCGTATACCGATACGCATTACCGAAACCACGTTATAACTGGATTATATCATCATAATCCCAGGGCACACAGGGGCCCATGCACACAGGCATTAATAAACACGGCACTGATGTGGTACTTAGCACTTCCACACATCATACGGCCAACAAAATCATCATATATCATCCATCATACATCATACATCATACATCATATACAGCCAACAAAAATACGCAAAACTGATTTCATATTTTCGATGAAATGTTTTTGGCCTATAATCAAACTCTGATTGAAGAATGTGTCCAGCGGTCTAACAATATAGTGGAAACGTACCGTCACTGGTTAGCACAAATTCAAGAAACGATCACAAATTTCTAAACAAAGTTTCACAACAAAATTTTTCCACACAAAAAAAAACGGTTAGAAGCATATATCATGAAGAAAATACCGCGTTCATAAAACAACCATAAACCTCTACATACATACAATGTCAGGTAGGCTTGTGAAACAACTGTGTCGGCGTACCTTATTCAAAGTTTTATTCCGCTCCGCAAGTCTATACGCATCGACATAACATAACATGCACCTTTTGAACTAAACCAGGTATGAGGGATACAAAAAAAACGTATAATGCATGCTTGCATGGTGTATACAGGAAAAACCTTCGAGTATTAACGTTTATAAATAACGTTTTCACTTTAATTACGAAATAAATGCCGACACAAGGTTGATTCACATACCTATTTTAAGTATTTCCGTTTCCGTAAGTAGCATTATATATGCCGTGTTCTTAACTAAATATACTCTGCCGTATTCAGCGTCCCACCTTTCCCAAACCAATATCATCTGTGCTTGCCATTACCGCGTCGCCAGCCCTCTATAGTATACACTATACACCTGTGCGTAACTATATTATATCATACGGTTATCTACTGTGCCTTCTTATCTTACAGTACAGTAAAGTATCTTAGGTTGCTTACACATCTAGCGTATTTATATTCGTGCTCTCTGACACGTTATATGTGGAGGATTCCCAGCGTATATATGCTGTGACAAACATCCCCGTAGTCCTTCTCTTAGACCGTGTATACGCGACTTGTCTTTACAGAGACATAACTTTAGCCGCGTATGCTAACCTCGTTTACATGCGTTAAACGTGACGCATGACACGTTCGCGTAGGGCTCTCTTCGCCCTTTATCATACGCGTGCCACGGCTATCTATCCTAGCCCGTGTAACGCTCTCTATACCTATGCACCCTATAACACTCTATTGTGGCACTAACCGTCCGCACAGGCAATATCGTCCGTATACTTAGCAGTCAGGCGACAGTAAACAGCGTTAGCACAGTGAAATCTATACTAGGAAAAATGCAACACTTACCACGACATTATATATCTTCCTCTTCTTTCTTCCAGCTTCTTCTCTCAGCTTCCGTTGCTCTGTCTGCTCCGGCGTCTCGGCATTGCCTTCTTTCGTTCGTCTCTCCCTCTCTTCCTCCGTCGTTCTTCTTTCTTCCAGCTTCTCTTCTTCCTTCTCCAGTTATCTTCCGTGGCTCCGTGGCTCGTGAATCGTTTGTAGTATCTTGTAGCGTTCTTCTCCACGATCTCCAGCCGATCCTCGTCGCCATCGTCATCGTCGTCGGCGCTAGCGCAGTCTGCATGGCTCCCATCTTATCATCAGAACCCGCTCTTTCTGTCCTTCTCTCCCTCTCTCGCTCTCCGTTCTTCTTCCTCTGTTTCGTTGCTGGCCCGTATATAGATCGATATAATGAAGTATAACTTGCGTTGTGTCCACAAAGGAATACCCAGATTTTGGACTGTCACGAGCACCAAAATGTAAACAGGAATGCGCGTTCACGTAGAAATGATGAAGAAGATCCAAACTTGTGTGGTAAACTGTACAATCTTTAATACTCATACTCACCCACTGTATTGCTCTTCCCTTTCGGGACCGCAACGTTACATTGCCAGATAATACTACATATATGTTACGGCAATTCCGAAACCTACAGAACAGACTGAACAGAGATTCTAAATTTAAGGATGATTACGTGAGGTTCATGGAAGGGTTAATAAGCAAGGGCTATGCAGAGCTTGCGCCCAAGGAATCGGACAACGGGAAAGTCTGGTACATCTCACACCACGGGGTCTACCACAAGAAAAAGCAGAAGATACGTGTAGTGTTTGACTGTTCAGCCAAGTACCAAGGTGTATCACTGAATAGTGACCTCCTACAGGGACCCGACCTCACCAATAATCTTCTCGGTGTTCTCCTGAGGTTCCGCGGAGAGAATGTAGCAATTCTTGGAGACATGTAGGCCATGTTTCATCAGGTGAAGGTATCACAGAGTGATAGAGACTGTCTACGATTTTACTGGTGGGGGACGGGCGACATGGAGAAGGAACCAGTCCCATACAGAATGACAGCTCTTCGGGGCGACGTCATCTCCTAGTGTGTGCAACTATGCCCTTCAGCGTACGGCAAAGGAGAATGGAGAAGAGTTCGACCAACTGGTCGCAGATACAGTGATGGAGAACATGTATGTGGACGATTGCCTAACTTCGGTTCCCTTAGATGAGGATGCTGTTTCGCTCAGTCGAGATCTGACTATGATGTGCAAGAAAGGAGGGTTCCGTTTAATGAAATGGATCAGTAACAGCCCGGCAGTTATAGAATCTGTGCCAGAGGATGGTCGAGCTAGAGAGGTAAAGCTGTGGAGTCCGGGTACAGAATTGCCAAGTGAATGAGCCCTGGGCGTCTACTGGTCCATTGAGAATGACTCGCTTGGATTTCGGAAGAATCCATGATGTCATGAAAGACAAGAACGGCATTGTGAGGGTGGTAAAGGTCAAGACCGCCTCGACACTGTTAACGCGTCCTGTGGCAAAACTTTGTCTTATTCTGGAATCAGACTTTAATGATTAGTGTGCGAGCTGTGTAGAAATGGAGTTTTGATTGTCGTAGCGAATACTTCGTCTGTCGTGAGGAACACTTAGATGGTTGCAAAGAGTTGGAAATAGCGGTTGATTTTGTTGGAACAATTTAGTTTATGTTGGCCGTTTTTGTATCAAGATAATTGTGTATAAGGCCACAATTAAGGGGCCGGTATGTAGCGGCCAACCAGTTAACAATTACTGTATTGAACTCACGAATGGACGTATGACTTCCCGAATCACGTCTTTGGGCGTACGGCTCGCGTATGATAGGCTGGAGGTTTTCGGTTTTGGTTTTGGGTGGTTTCGGGTGCAAAACAGTCAACGCAGGCAGTAGGCTTTGTGAGTTACGGCGGTCGAGAGGCGTGTATACGGTTCAGCATGTAACGGAAGAATACCAGAGTCAACGATACGGTAATTACTAATACAAGGTTTAACTTTTATACGTCATGCAGCGCAGATATATGCGCTCGCGACTGGATTCACCTCGCTGTATATTTAGTCTAGTTGCGCTATGTATTGTACGATGCAGTAATGTAATATAATGTATATGCCTGGTATCACTAATGACTCACGTAATAGAAATAGTCGATGTATTAATTATACCGCGGACAAGTGTCAACAGACATGATGTTTAAGAGGGAAATAGCCACAGGGGTTTATTTTGTTCATTTTCTTCTGTATTATAGTCAATCTTTCGTCTATGGTCATCGTCAAAGTTTGTCGATGATAAATAAATGATGAGCGGATGAATTGATGTTAAAGGCTGCTGTTGGTATAAGCGTTACATACTGTATATCATGTACTATCTATATATTATTGCTATATCTGTTGAGTCAGGAGGTTTATCTTGTGGGCGTTAATTAGACACAAATAATGAGTAGGACGAAAGCCTTGAGTTAACAGAAACCAGCCATGTTTATTTAGTTCCTCCCAACCTCCATAGGTGGCAGCACATGCCAGTGCTGATAACTTGTTGACACAAGAACAGATAATTATGATAATACAACAATATCAACTTTATAATGCACCAGACATTTTCTTTTTAAAATAAATATGTCTTGTGCATTATGAAGTTACTGGTGGCTTGGATGGATGATTTATAATCTGAATGATTTCCATTACGCACAGAAACATTCATTACCTTCAGTTCAGCCTTGTCTGTTACCTGTATGTAATATTATAATCAGAACCTGATGCAAATATGGAACATTCTTTACATGTTGTAATATCCATATTTCTTATTTACAGGAAATTTGTGAAGGGAAGGCTCACGTGGAAGCATGCAAAAATATCCATTTGGTGCTGTGAGAAATGTTCAACAAATGGAAGGAACCAAGGATATCATAATGCATGATTGTATGTAAAAACATAACCAGTCCACTGTTATTGTAATAGCATGTGTTATTAAAAAATACCGTATTATTTATTGTAATGGTAAGAAGTTTTAACTACATATGTCTGTAATATACGTCCATAAAGCATGTAATGCAACGTTACATAAGACTTTCAGTGTGATGTCAGTGTATCACTTTCACTGAATGCTCTACATCATCCTCGCTAAAAAAAAAAACTGGTACAAGTAGTTCATACGTTGTAACTAAGCACTTGTTTTGAATTTTAAAATACAAGATATTTGTAATGAATATATTCTGTTTTTGAAGGGTGTTGGAAACATGACCTTGAACCTAACAGTGAGGTCAACTTATTACTGAAACTAGCTTAATTACAACCAAATGCAAAATTTAAAGACATTTACCCTACATATATATTACATAGGTAGATCATCATAGTATATACTATATTATATTATTTACTATCTACATTGTTCCTATTGCTGTATCTATTTTAAACAAGTTTTCAAACAGTAATTTTCCTAGGGCAACATCTATATTTTATGCTCTCTGATCTGGATAAGTAAATATCATTTATATTTTCTATAGGACCACACATCATCTACACATAATGAGTGAATAAAACACATTTATTTTTATTCACTCCTGATATTATTGTTTTACACTCAATTTATCTTTAAAATATTTTTGTCACAACACCTCAATCTATTATGTGTATACAGACACTATGAATTTTCTGTAATCATTCCATGTGATAAAATTATCTCACACATGCATAGCACACAATTCATTGCATGCATGCAATGACATTCATACTTCTTACAATCTGCATGGTATATAACGGTGACAATATACGTACAATGACTTATATCATAGTCTGATCAGTGTTGATTGAAGAAATAACAAGAAATTTATCACTGTTTAATAACGAAATAAGGGTTGATGATACATGATAACATAACATCAATGATATAACATCAATAATATGTATAACATCAATGATGTAAAAACAGCACCGGTAGTTTGAAACGTTAGCCCCTTATAGAATATTTTGGTTATTTTCTTAGTTGTCACCAAAAAGCTATACATGTCGCTATGGCTTTTCTCCATTAGCCAACCTAGCATTAATCTTCTCAACAACCTCTGGTAGATCTGCAATGCTGTCAACTACATAGTGTGAGCCAGCCTGAAACAAGTAATTTTTTTTAAAGAAGTCAGAACTATCAGTAAAATACGAATATCTGTCTCGGTGTACGGCAGTATTTTCATACTCAACATCCCCAATATGCATATTTCCAGTATAACTACAGTAAAACACACCTTCCGAAGTAGATCACGAGAGTGTTCTAGGCGTCTCCTGATTTCGGTCTCTGGCACATGTTTTTCTTCCCCTAGGCTGTTGATGTGCATGTAGTTACTATAGCGTGCCACACCAACACCCCAGCAACCTGCTGCTAGTGCTTCTCCAATACCTGCATAATATTATTAAAGGTGAACATTTACACAAGTTCATTTGAAAAAGCTTAAACTCATTGCTACTCACAGTATGATATCATAACCTGATGATATCATAATCTGATGATATTCTGATTGCAAGGTGACCATGTTTCTCAACCTGCATCATTTTCATATATTGATGCAAGGATAAGGAAAGAAGGTATCCCTAACAGCCCTCGACACTAACGGTTGTCCAATTGCCTGGGATAAGTGAAAGTCTATGTCGGACAAGTTATTCTCTTGCCTAGTTGCCCGATCGAACAACTGAAAAATTCGAGTTGTTTAATATTCCTAACATCATTCGAGCCAGGGCACTATCGTACCACGTTCTCACGTCAAACGTTTTCAAAGGTTGCTGAAAAAAGCAGCCCGGGTCACCCCGTTACCATTACAGATCAATTCAACGCGGCTACAAAGCCGGTATTTCGATGACTTGGAGAGTGTCAAGCTAATATTTCGCCAGGCTTCATATCTACATGAATAATTAATATGATCTCTCGGTTGCGTCTCTGCTTTCTAGTGATACATATATATACGGTAGTACTAGCTGCGGGTACCCGCTGCGCTGGGTAAAATCGGTGCTACTAATTCATACTACTATACTAATAATGGGACACAGTAGGAACATTGGTAAACATCGACAATGACATTGCACCCAATATCAATATTTAGAAATCGGTCTAATAAGATAATAAGCATGGGGAAAAACTGTTACGTATGACATTTATATGACAGCACAACCCAACTTAGAACATGAGACATAATATTAATAGTAATATGCGCTCATAGGGTCTATGTCCCCCAGGTATACCGGAACGTACCCTGGTGGCTATTTGATATGGTTAGGGTTAGGGTTTGGGTTGGGGTTAGGGAGTAGGCGTAGGCGACTCCCTAGACTCGTTAGTGGAGTAGGCGAGGTACGGTCGGCATATTAGATAGTACGCAGGGTACGTTCCGGTATACCCCACAGTACCAGGTTACGTTCCCGCAGTATCCCGGGGGGGGCACAGACCTCTCAGCAGTAATGTGGAGTAAATGACAAAAAGCTATTGTTATATATACAGCATGTACGAAATGGGTTGGACTTTTTCGTTTTCAAAGACTCGTTGGAGTAAACAATGTTTTTCGTGTTTATTCTCTGGGTGCAAATATGTAAGAGATATCGTGGCGTGACTCGGAAACGTGTTAGAGCTGCCCCACGTACAGCTATCCATTCGTGAGATCGTGACGGCCGGAATAAGAAAAAGAAATTGCGATTACAATAGTACTCAGGATAGTACAGGCCAGCGATGGGGTCTTAGGTGTCACTGGATATTGGTGTAGTGAATGCTTCGGCGTTGCACACCTTGCACATTGCAAATAAGGAATTTTTGTATTGAATCAAGAAAATGCATAGCTTTGAGAATGGTACAATGCATTTCAGATCGTAGCATCTGACCGAAACTGTCGGAAACTGAGAGTGAGTTAGTACCTCTGAACTGGTCGTGGTTAATGCGTCTTGTTTAGTTTCGACTTTGCGTGTTATCGGTTTTCACATACCAGGCAGGGCGTTGATGAGATCATGAGGTGAGGGCCAGAAAATCAATAGTCAGGGCTGTTGCTGACATTCGTGTGGAAGATTGCCGAATTTTGGAGGGGTTTTTGCACGGATTTTCGGCGAGTTGACGGTTTTGAACAGGTTTTTTAGCTACGGGAACACAGCCCGGGGTACTAAGAGGATCGGGCCCTGTGACAAATTGGCATCCAGGATCGCTTGGGCGGTTTGACCGCACTATAGGAAGATACACTAGATATGATAGATACATACATTACGAACTCAATATATTATTAGATATAGTATATATATACTGTGCGGCCCCGTATACTAGCGCGATTAGGAAGTCTTACCAGATAGGCGAAATTACCGTTGTTTGTATTACAGGGACCTGTCTGAGAGCGCCGACTTACTCACTAATACGGCTGCGTAAGAATGACGAGCTCTATGACGGACTTAGGCGCGTGCTATTCCAATGGATTTATTATGAGGATCGGGGACTTTGACTTCGGCATGTCGACTTACGCGAATTCGGAAACGAAACTAAGGTTTAGGAGTTTGGTGATGTATACGACTTTATGCGATGTTACCTGTACCTACTATTTTACTCGGCTTGTATAGGTACTATTCATGTATAAGGTTTCCGCCACCCCCACTACCTTTTGCCTGTGTAATAGTAGAGTCATTAGCAAGATCTTTTTTTAGCCTCCTTATAAGTCGATCCCACCATCATGTTGTTGCCTTTGGAAGCACAGTTGGTCTTGCAACAATTGGTACCATTAACGAGATTAAGTAGTAAGTCGTCAGATCAGTAGTAAGTCGCAGCCCCCTGTTGTATATACTCATATATATAATTTAATTATTAACACAGGTAAATCTCGCATAAGTCGTCGATGGTCTAAACTTCGTCAATTCGATAAACGTCATGGAAGTGGAAAGTCCCGATTTTCTCTTACTAGTAATCTTTTTGGGATAGCCCCGTTCTTAAGTCGGTCATGTATGGACAACGTCGGCCCGGCCTCACTCAGAAGGTTGCCATTGTAAGTACAATGACGACAGGCATTTCCAGCTGTAAGTTTGTCATCAGAAATTGCCTGATGGCGCCGACGCACTAGTGTTTACCGGTCTAGGGGGCAAGTCCGTGCGAGCTGGCTGTCGCAGCTCGCACATCCCTCAGATCCCCAGTGTATGCAGCCCAATGCATGGATGCGGAGTTAATCGAGAGTCCGTGAGTCAAATGCTCCCTGATTTACTGGCTGGACCTTCCCCGATTTTGCGCGGTGACTGCCTGATAATTCTTGGCTTAACTAACTAGTCCGTTCCAAGAGGGACCCGCCTCGCGAATTGCCGTACTTTTTGCGAGCAAGCGTGTTCCAAAGAACAATTTTGGAAGATATGGCAACCGCAAAATGTTCCTTGTGGCAATGTCCCAACGTCGTAATCAACGCGGGTTCCGTGCTTGTTACCAAGATTAGCCAGCTGCTGTTGCACGCTTGCCGCTAGTTCGTACGCTGTATGTGCGTTACTGGCCAGCAGCCAGGTGGCCCTCGCGAGGTGGTGTCCGATTTTGATGTACGAAACCCGATTGTTCTCATGTCTGCTATGCTATGTGGCCCGCGAAGACTGACGTCTGTGTGGAGTGCGTGCTGTGTGGTATGAACTGCGTAGGGAGGTTGACGGTGAGCTGGAAGGTTGAACCCTATCGTATAAGTCGAATACAGAATGCACCGACGTACGGCAGCGTGTGATGTTCATCATTTAGCTCTCAATCTGACATAGGTCAGATTGCAGCTTGTAGGAATCTCGCTTGATCGTCCGTACACGAGCGTGCGTCCTGGTTCAAACGGATTGGGCAACAGAATCTAAACCCGTCGACGGTACGGCACGATATCGCGGACGTACGCGAGGGGTAATCGAACAACGAGGTTGGTACTATCGAAGCCGTGGTGTGAGGGTCAGTAAGGTCAAGAGGTCAAGAGTTGTAAAAGAAGGGGAACATTCACTCCTTAACTTAAGGTATAGGGAGGAAATGCAGAATTGCGCACAATCTAACGGCTCGACTTAGGCTCGTGATAGTCGGTGTATAGCATCATGGTAGGAAAGCCATCACTGTGCCGAAATTGGGAGGTCACAGGTCAAAGGTCAATGGGCACAGGCAGATTTTAGCCATTTTCTAAGGACATGGTCTGACGAGCGATTGAAAACTTTTTTGTTTCAGCGGTGACCTAGCATTTTTTATTGGCATTATTGAAAGGACCATGAAATCTACTTTCTGCTGACGTTGCGAAGAGTAGTGTCAGATAACATTTTGCAGCCCTCAAGAGGAGGTTAAACATTGGATTTGTTGACTGTCTGTTAGAAAGAATTTGACTGCCGTGGTTTGCTAGTAGAATCTATAACATGCCTCGGATGTATGAGTGCTACCATGTCACAGTGAAATTTCAAAAGCTAAATTTGGTTAAAGAAGGTTTATGCTGCTTAAATCGTATAATTTCTATGCATGTCCATTGTACTGTCGTATGTTATGACATGTACCGTATGCCACTGCAGTGGCTATGCCAGTGCATGGTGTGCTGGTACGTACTGTGTAGTTTTTGCCTGCGTATTTGGTTACAGGTGGCAGCTCTATTGCAGCCTGTAGCTTGCGTAGGTAAATGGATGAGTGCTCTACTATTCTGTCTTGCAAATAGTTGTTGCTACTACGTTCGATGGAGCTTCCATCTTTAATCTGAGAGCACACTTAAACGTACGCGCCATCTGCTGGCAACTTTCATAACGATCCCAACGAACGTACAATTCCTTGAGAAGGTTCCTGATACCATCCCTGTGCCTTCCACTGTTCGGCGTGTATGTGAGCAAATTCTGGGACTACAGGGTTTACTAGAATCCCACCACTCCACCACAGAGTCACCGCAGTAGACGTTAGATGAGCGCTGTTGCTCCGCGGCACTTGTTTTCTTAAAGGGATAGTAGACTCTAGGAATTTACTGCATACAACTGTACTTACTGTATAACAAATCGTCTATACCCACACATGTTTGTTACCAGATACCTAATTTAATTGTTATCATTAATTACACATCAACGCTACGAAATTTGAACGGCGCCATGACACCCGCGACCGTGCTGCCACCCCGAAAAAGTTGCGTATTTGACAATTTATTTTGCACGTTACAGACCGAGGGCTAATCACAAAAGTGAAATTATATTTATACCTAAATGCTATTTAACCGAACGATATTCATTTTAGGGCAAATTTATCCATATTATAACTGAAACCCGTGCGCGCGCGCGGGGGTGGGGGGGGGGTATGGGGGGCCTCCCCAGAAAATTTTGAAAAAATCGTCCCCTTTAGCGCTATTCTGACTTATTTTATGCTGCGTTTGAATACATTTTCAAACCAGTTTTTTTTGTAAAATAATGTTCATGTATTACTGGAAACAAAGATGGTTTGGAACATACACATACGATGTGTAAACCGTAAACAGTAAAATGCCGGCTATACATTCCATTGTGTAGCGTTTTCGCCGGCTCCAGTTATGTCTCCTTTTCCGGTTGTACCCTTCACCCGGGCTTGATAGGGCCCGTGCGTGCATTGTGTTGTCCTAATCCCCCTTCGTCGTCTACACCCGACGTCAGCTCGTAAAGGAAAAGCTTGCCGAAGACGTGAAGTTCAGAAAGAGGGCCGAAGATAGAAGTTGAGTGATAATATATGACGGGACAAGCCCGGCTGTTTGTTACGGGTTGACACCCAGACGCACCAATTTTCCAATTCACACACAGGCAGAGAACCAATGCTCGGATACACGTACAATAAGCGCGGCGCCACTGTTACTCACCCTCTCTCTCTCTCCCACGCGTGCGCGCTCTCTCTTTCTCTCTCTACTCTTTCACCTCTAACTCCGCTTGCGTCTACACTCTGTTCGACTTTGACTGCTAACTCGCATTCTCCGACAGTCAACTGGCAACTCGCAACTCTCAACTGGTTCTCTCCGACAGTCACAGTCGCTTATATTTTACATCATCACGTGACGTCGTGACCGGGATACAATAATGTCTTCCAGATCGCATTCCTTTTTCGAAGCTCACCAATCGCTTCTGTTTACCTGCGTCATACCACACGTGATTCTTCTCGATTGGACTACTCCGCCCCTCTCCGTTGACACGCCCCTTTCTTTCCTGCTTATTCTCTCACAACCGTCAGCTCGTCCTACCGTTCACATATCCCCCCGCCAAATATCACTCTCTAAACTAATGTATACGCATACAATTGCTACACTAAATATCACTCGTGCTCGATATTACACACTCGCCCCGCGCGGCGTGTATCACCGCCGCACCGCCGCACCTCAGGCGTGCACGCGGTGCAAAATACACCGCTGCACCACGGCCGCGCACGCGCGGTGCATACCACCGCCGCACCGCAGGCACGCGTGCGCGGTATATCTCACCGCCGCACCGCATACCACCGCTGCGCGCGCGGACCGCATATCACCGCCGCACCGCAGGCGCGCGCGCGCACGGTATATCTCACCGCCGCACCGCATACCACCGCTGCGCGCGCGGACCGCATATCACCGCCGCACCGCAGCACAGGCACTTGAAGCGTTTCAATAAAATATAATGCTAACTAAATACGAAATCTATTTACTACCAAATTCTTCATGTTTCTATACTCTCTTTCACCTATTATTGCCGACAGTTTCCTGTAAATTCCGTTTAAATCCTACGTGCAACCATATACGCTGCCGGTGGCATTGCTCTCGCGGCTCACTGTTGCACGCTTACACTTATATATATAGTTGTATATATATTATTGTTATATATTGTTATAGTTATATATTGTTATACATATAAGTGTAAGCGTGCAACAGTGAGCCGCGAGAGCAATGGCCGCCGGCAGCGTATATGGTTGCACGTAGGATTTGGACGGAATTTGCAGGAAACTGTCGGCAATAATAGGTGAAAGAGAGTATAGAAACATTAAGAATTTGGTAGTAAATAGATTTCGTATTTAGTTAGCATTATATTTTATTGAAACGCTTCAAGTGCCTGTGCACCGCAGTTGCGCGCGCGCGCGGTATATCTCACCGCCGCGCGCGTGGACCTCTATCACCGCCGCGCAGGCGGACCGCCGCGCGCTCGCGGGCGCGCGCACAGTATATCTCACCGCCGCGCGGACCGCTATCACCGCCGCGCCGCATACCACCGCTGCGCGCGCGGACCGCTATCACTGCTGCGCGCGCGGGCGGACCGCCACGCGCTCGCGGACGCGCGCGGTGCATACTCGTTCATGACTTGCTGCGGCGCTGTATCTATCCTCCCGCCTCATGGCCGCTGTTACAATTGCATACATAATGAAGAATGCATGGATAAGTAGATGACCCCTTTTCAGATATGATCACTGTGTGATATACAGCAACATGATACAATAATAATACAGTATTACAATAATACCGAATCCAATTTCAATTTTCTGGCGTTCTTTTGTGCAATTTTTATTTTATAGAGCGGAACTCCTTGTTCCGCGGGGGGGATCGTCCGATCCACCCGATCCCCCCCTGGTTACGGGCCTGGACTTATGCGAGCTTTACTGTATAGATCTCTATATTATACACTCCTGGTAATATGATATGCACTGAACCAAAAGAGGACCTTAACGGCTCATAGACTGCAAGTAAATTTTGGACAAGTAAAATCAAAATTCGGACAAGTAAAAACAGGATAACCAGATACCCAATACCTAATAAGTTGCATCTATTATCACCTACAATATCCATTGCCGGGGAGAAGATTTTTTTAACTTTTTAGGGCAGGCCAGTTGTTAATTAAATGAATTCTTATACTGTAATGTAATATAATATCATATAATAACTTATAATAACTATACTATAACCAATACCTATAATAAATACTTATAAATAAGTAAAGGTAACGTAACAATAGGTGGTTGATAACAGCTGCAGCTGCAACGAACCTGACACCGTGTCATCCACCTTCAGCACAGCCTGCACCGGGTGCACGTCCAGCAGGTCCATGTTGCGGAACACCATGTGTGGCTTCGGCCTCGAGCCGTTCGTGACCTCGTCACCCGCGACGGTGCAGTCGAACGTCAGGCCCTGCTTCTTCGCGTCGCGCTCAAGAATGTCTACCATCGGCCGCGTAAAGCCTGTCGTAGAGCCGATCTTGAGGCCATACTGGTTGCGCAGCGTCTTCACTGCCTCTGCAGCACCGGGTATCAGCTTTGTGTACTTGCTGAGGCACTCAAGCTGCATCGGGACGAAGTCGGCAAACATGGCGTCGACCTCCGCCTGCTCAGGATACTTGGCATGTACGCTGAACCAGCGCTCACGCACCTCGTTGGTGCGTGTGATCTCCAGGATATGCAGATCCTTGCGGAGTCCCATGGGCTCACGTGCCTCCAACATTGAGATCGGCACCTTGTGCTTCTTGAAGACGTCTTGGAAGACGACTGCAGGTGCGATGACATACTTGTCGGCGGTAGTGCCGCTCCAGTCCAGCAGGCAGGCCTTCAGCGGTCCTATGTAGGTCCGCGTAAAACGGTAATACTGCGACATCGCCGACATGTTTGCTTATTTCACGATCTGAATAAGAAAAGACGTGAAACTATATAAGTGCAAAGTGCCAGTGACAAAATGATATAGTTGTTAGGATGAAGTGTGGCCTTTACTAATGACTGCTGAGAACGAAAATCCCGTAGCTGCATTATTCAGCCCTTGTGGTTTTTGAGTGTAATAATTTATCCCTATTTACATGATTCATATAATTTGTGCTTGTTAGTCTGCACTCACAAGTGATATCCAAGATGTGCCATAGAGAGCTTATGTGGAAGCTGTTGAGCCCTGTATCTTGACAGGAGTCGAGATTTACGGTTTTACCACTGCAGATGCATAATGATGACATGGGGGTTGTATAAACCTGCATTTTGGCTTTCACTACCTATTTTTTTGTGTAAGGTGTTATATGGAGAGTTTAGTTGTTGCACATGTTTGTTTTTTTATGGTTGAAATGTCAATACAAATACATGTGCAATCATATGCTTACACGTAACACATTAACCATTTGTTTGGCAAGTACACAGTGAAATACACACACCCACACAGAAATGTTTTATTGTATGCTATGTAGTATTTATGTACTGGTTGATGATACGGACTCCAAAATTCGAATATAGATAGATGTAATGTGAATGGGTATAACGTAAACGTAAAATTACGTGCTTCGCATGTTTCCACTGTGTGCGGACCAGGTAATATTGCGTGGTTGTGATCGCTTACTTCTACGCATGTTTGCATTCTGTGCGGACGACGTAATATTACGTGCTTGTGATCGGACCGCTTGTGACAGATCGGTGTTCACGACACCCGTACACTGTACAGCATGCAGACTTCCAAAATTATATATACTGTGCGGCCCCGTTATAGCGCGATAGGAAAGTCTTACAGATAGGAAATTACCGTTGTTTGTATTACATGGGACCTGTCTGAGAGCGCCGACTTACTCATAATGACGGCTTGTAAATGACGACTTATGACGACTTAGGCGGGGCTATTCCAATGGATTTATTATGAGGAAATCGGGACTTTGACTTCCATGTCGACTTACGCGAATTGACGAGTTAGAGGATGACGACTTATGCGAGTTACTGTACTATATTTACTCGTGTATAAGTATTATTCATGTATAAGTCGCACCCCATATTTTGCCTTGAATAGTTGGTACATTAGCAAGATTTTTTAGCCTCCTCTATAAGTCGCACACCATATTTTGCCTTGAAAAGTTGGTGCAAACATTGGTACATTAACAAGATTAAGTAGTAAGTCGTAGATCATAGTAAGTCGCACCCCCTGTTTATATATATATATATACATTTATATAATACAGTAAAACTCGCATAAGTCGTCATGGTCTAACTTGTCAATTCGCATAAATCGTCATGGAAGTGAAAGTCCCGATTTTCTCTCATAGTAAATCTATTGGAATAGCCCCGTCTAAGTCGTCATTATGTACAAGTCGCCGCCCTCAGACAGGTCCCATGTAATACAAACAACAGTGATTTCCCATCTGTAAGTTGTCATCAGAAATGCCGATGGCGCACGCATAGTGTACGGTCTAGGGGATGTGCGAGCTGGCTGTCGCAGCTCGCACATCCCCCAGATTCCCCAGTGTATGCAGCCCAATGCAGGATGCGGAGTTATCGAGAGTCCGGAGTCAAATGCTCCCTGATTTACTGCTGGACTCCCCGATTGCGCGTGACTGCCTGAAAATTCTGCTATACTAACTAGTTCGTTCCAGAGCACCGCCTCGCGGAATTGCCGTATTTTCTTCAGCAAGTGTTCCAAGAAAATTTGGCAGATATGCACCGCAAATGTCCTGCAATGTCCAAACGTGTAATCAACAGCGGGTGTTACAGATAGCCAGCGTGTGCCACGCTTGCCGCTAGTACGTACGCTGTATGTGCGTTATGGCCAGCAGCGGTGTCGATTGATGTACGAACCCGATTGTTTCATGTCTGCTATGTATGTGGCGCGAACTGACGTCGTGTGTGGTTATGACTGCGTAGGGGTGACGGGAGCCTGGGAGGTGAACCCTACGTATAGGTCGACAAAATGACGACGTACGCGTATGTCATCATTAGCTCATCTGACATAGTCAGATGCAGCTTGTAGAATCGCTTGATCGTCCGTCCGAGCGTGCGTCCGTCAACAGTTGGGCACAAATCTTAACCGCTCGACGTACGGCCACGATATTCGGGACGTGGGGGGGTAATCCGAAAACGAGTTGGTATATCGAAGCTGGGGGGGTCAAAGGTCAAAGGTCAAGAGGTGTAAAAGAAGGGGGAACATTCACTCCTTAACTTAAGGTATAGGGAGGAAATGCAGAATTGCAGCACAAATCTAAACGGCTCGACCTAGGCTCGTGATAGTCGGTGTATAGCATCATGGTAGGAAACCCATCACTGTGTCGAAATTGCACTCGTTGGGCGTGTGATCTCCAGGATATGCAGATCCTTGCGGAGTCCATGGGCTCACGTGCCTCCAACATTGAGATCGGCACCTTGTGCTTCTTGAAGACGTCTTGGAAGACGATTGCAGGTGCGTGACATACTTGTCGGCGTAGTGCCGCTCCAGTCCAGCAGGCAGGCCTTCAGCGGTCCTATGTAGGTCCGCGTAAAACGTAATACTGCGACATCGCCGACATGTTTGCTTATTTTCACGATCTGAATAAGAAAAGACGTGAAACTATATAAGTGCAAAGTGCCAGTGACAAAATGATATAGTTGTTAGGATGAAGTGTGGCCTTTACTAATGATGCTGAGAACGAAATCCCGTAGCTGCATTATTCAGCCCTTGTGGTTTTTGAGTGTATAATTTATCCCTATTTACATGATTCATATAATTTGTGCTTGTTGTCTGCACTCACAAGTGATATCCAAGATGTGCCATAGAGAGCTTATGTGGAAGCTGTTGAGCCCTGTATCTTGACAGGAGTCGAGATTTACGGTTTTACCACTGCAGATGCATAATGATGACATGGGGGTTGTATAAACCTGCATTTTGGCTTTCACTACCTATTTTTTTGTGTAAGGTGTTATATGGAGAGTTTAGTTGTTGCACATGTTTGTTTTTTTATGGTTGAAATGTCAATAACAAATACATGTGCAATATATGCTTACACGTAACACATTAACCATTTGTTTGGCAAGTAAGCACGTGAAATACAACACCCACACAGAAATGTTTTATTGTATGCTATGTAGTATTTATGTACTGGTTGATGATACGGACTCCAAAATTCGAATATAGATAGATGTAATGTGAATGGGTATAACGTAAACGTAAAATTACGTGCTTCGCATGTTTCCACATGTGTGGGGACACAGGTAATATTGCGTGTTGTGATCGCTTACTTCTACGCATGTTTGCATTCTGTGCGGCACGACGTAATATTACGTGCTTGTGATCGGACCGCTTGTGACAGATCGGTGTTCACGACACCCGTACACTGTACAGCATGCAGACTTCCAAAAAAAATCTGCCTCTGATGAAATTCAACTTGTTACA